TTTAGCCCAACACTGTGCATATGTACAGCTTCACAGAGCTGCTAGCATGACTGTAGACTCTTTGTCTAGTTACTTTGTACAGTAGCACTAAATGTATTCTACAGTTTGTTTTTGTGGTTCACTTCATATTATACACGCAGTGAATTAATAAAAGAAACAGTTGATTGAATACAATAGTTATTTCCGTTGACTCTGGAAATCACACAAAAGACTGTTAGAGTTTGCATCTATGAGAAAAACCTGCCTTGTTTCACACATCCAACCAGTTTCTATAGTCTATAGCACTCTATATACCTCTGAATAACACTGAATCTTAATAACATGAAGTTGTTGCATTGCATGAATGACAAGTCCTTTCTCAGAATTAACACTCAGCTGAATGCTGAAGCAGCTGAAGGCAGTGACAGTGCAATTGTGTCAGTGTAAATGAACTTTACACAGCCTCCTTTCACACAGTCCTCCCCCAGACTGAAATAATAATAATAACTTTCTGTATCAAGGCCACACTAAGATGGCCATGACATCAGCGATTTTTAATGATTGGCTGTTTAATCTTAGCAGCCAGCGACATTACGCAAACAAGGACCTTCTTAATCAATGATCCACTATTACAGGGGATCTAATCACTGTGTTCCCAGCCTGAGCTTATCTAAACATACAGTATCTTGTCATCAGTGGAGAAAGAGCGCCACAGCACTTTGGACATCATGCAATCCTCTATCGCCAGTAGATACGGGACGTTAAATCCAGGCAAATTTATTTATGAAGCACTTTTAACAGTCTCATCAAAGAGTAAATTCACAGAAAGAGGAGGAGGGAGCGCTGTTTTGTAAGCAAGGATCAATAAAGAATCCTGTTATCATTATCAGCACGAATACTCTTTTTACACTCCTCCAGAGCTGCAGGTAAATACTTTCAAGTCAAGGACAAAGTAGGTCAAAACAGCATGAAGACCCTCAGTATCTGGAGCTGGGTCTGGTTCAGCACGAAGACAACACAACAAAATAATACTCTTAACACACACTCATCTAATTATTTTGCATGTTTGCAGGCCTTCAGCTGTCTAATGGCTTATACAAATAAAAACTTATACATAGGGACACAGTTACAAGAATTAGGTCACAGTTTTGAATCCAGACCACACTGGGAAAGCTTGTTTCTTCTGAGCTCTTGAGCGAGGCATTGAAGCTGCCACTGACATCAGTGTATAGTGGTTTTACTGGTCAGTTCCCAATGAGAACAACTCTAACTGGAGTAATACAGGGTGTTGTTCAGGAATACCAAACATGCTCAGTCAATACGAGTTTTAAACTTGTTAGAGATAAATATTTCCCTTCAGAAGTCTCCTGCATGGTTATTTTCTGCTTTGAGTCTTAACACTAACACATCAGATTCAAACTGAGCAGCAGGAGACAGTAAACGCTGGGTCAACGGACGAGAAGCTGCTGCAGCTCTCTCTCCTGTTTATTGCGGGCAATAAGTCTGCAAGGAGGTTTTAAAATCTCAGCACATACTGCAGGCAGTGTCACTGCAGAAGGAATCTGTCGAGGTAAAAACTGCTTCTCTGTATCTGAATGAATCGCTGCTGTGGGCTTGTTGTTTCTGATTAACAACAATCTGCATCTTTTCACTGTCTGATTTCTTTCCTGCAGTATATAAAATCGACTGACGATCAAAATCAACAAGAAATGGACCTGAAATATTTGGATCTGAAATCATTTAGAACATACTGTTTGTTTTTTCCTGTTCTTCCAATTTTTTTTACTGGAAAAGAGGGCAACACTTGAAGTAGCATGAAGTAGCATCCAATTAACAATGCTGTTGCCTTAATTATACATCTTGGTTGGCAGCTTCTTATTCACTTGTGGGGGTATTTTTATTTTTATGTTATTTTATTGCTCATTAGAGTGTACAGCTCTGTTTCTTGACACTAATTTAATTACATTTTTTAAATTTTGGTAATTGAGGTAACCCTAATTTTAACTGAGGAAGCTGGACCCAAATTATTATATTTAATATATATTTAGATATATTTGTATCTACAGTATATATATATAATTTACTGGTAAATACAAGTAAGTTAGAATATGGACTTATAGCAGGAGACTTGCTAATTTCTTTCTCTAATAAAGTTATTGTTGATGAAAATTTTGTAAATCGGCTTCCAAAGGCAAGCATTAAAGTGTTTATTACTTTTGTGGGGTTGATGAGTTTTGGCTTTGCTTTTTTGCTTTATACTAAATTCCCACTGATGCTAACATGCCGGTTGTGTGCGTCCAGATGAGGTGGAGTGTCGCTGTTGTCCTGGCAGTGCTGCAGCTCTGCAGCCCAGCGCTGCAGACTGACCCGCTGCTCTACATCTCCCAGCTGGACAACGGGCAAGAATTACCCAGTGAGTCATATCATAGTAAAGTTTTATTTATTCAGACACTTAAAAAGAGTTGAATTAAAAGATTTACACCAAACCCTACTGTTCAAAGCCTGTTCTTTTCTGTCTTGTCATGTAGAGCCATGGCTTAACCCCATGCTGGAAGATGTTGTCCCTTCCCGGGAAGTCATCAAGCCTACTACGGTTATAGACATCCCAGAAACTCAGACAACCTCACACTCCCTCCCCATGTTTGGTGAACACACCAACCTCAAGTGGGTCACGTGGAACGGCTCCCTCCCGAATGGCGCAGTCGCCATATTCAACGGCTACACAGAGCGCACTGACTACGTGTGCAAAGTCAGCTGCGAGGCCGGCTTCTACACTCCCAGCAAAGGGCACTTCTGCCAGTACCCGTTCGCCGACAGAGAGTATGCATCCTCCAAGTTTGAAGTGCTGGTCAACGTGGACCACTTTGAGTTCCTGCAGTGGGTTGAAGATTCGTACGGGTCAGTACCCCATTATGCCGTCAAAACCTGCCCTAACTCAGACATCTATGTTGGCAAAAACAAGTACGGTCTTGGCAAAGTGGTGACACAACATGAGGCCTTCTTCCTTCCCTGGGAGGGTGATGAGTACTGGTACAAGAGCTACCACGTTCTCGCTATCAACAGAGACAGCTACAGCCAGCACATCTCTCATGTGGAGTATGCTATCGACCAGATGGAGCTGTTCCACCATCCTCCAGAGGCCCTGCAGCTTGCCAAAGTCACCAACCTGGAGTGCAGAAGTGTGGAGAAGACGGTGGTACTGGAGAAGACCAGTTCAGTGGAGAAGACCTGGGACATTGGCAGAGAGACCCGCAACGGCTCCGTCTCCACCATGAAGGCCAAAGTGCCCATCCTTGGCCCGGGAACCGTGGACTTCACCAAGGAGCAGACAGTGACCTTCTCAGAGGGAACCAGCATGGTGGAGTCCATGAGTCACTCAGTCTCTGTGCAGCTGCTGGTCTTACCGAACCACTCCTGCACCGTGAGGATGGAAGGCAGGAAGATGACGGCCGACATCCCTTTCACTGGCAGGCTGAGCAGGACCAACCACAACGGAGACACCCACTGGACGTACATCACGGGCACCTACGACGGCGTGAACGTCGGCGAGATCAACGCTGTGGTGGAGAGATGTCAGCCGGTCATTGATGCTGTTCCATGCTCCCCAGCTCAAGACTGATGATCAGCCTGTTGAACAAACAGCTCAAAAAGCAAATGTTAAAAATAAATGTTTCCAAATAAAGAACAGTTCAAATTTTCAAGGACTTTTTTTTGTCTTCCTTTAACTGAGATATTCTAGGCTTGTTACTGTCTATTATTATGATGTATTATTATTATATATGTATTATTTTAGTTATTTTAAAGGATTCAATGATGAGTTCTTTCACTTACTACTTGTCCAATTACAAGACTATTATCTCTTGAAATGCATTTGCTTTAAAAACTTTAAATATGTGGAGTCAATATTTCATAATTACACTGACTGTAAAAATATATTTCTATTGCACCTTTCAAAATCAGAAACAGAAAATATATAAGTTTTTTACAGGGAATTGTCAAATATATAAAATAGAAACAATATAAAACTATTAGTTAGTCTACTTAAGGTTCTTATTCAAAGGTTCTATTACTTAAAAAACACTTTAACTATTATAGAATTTGATAGTAGTGGGTTGTGGCCTATTGATATACTCGAAGGTTTATATAACTCAAGTGGGAAGAAAACTAAGGACAGTAAATACATAAACTTGTATATTTAGACAGGCCACCACCAAGGCGGGATTAGCAGCTGGGCTGAGCAGGCAACTGTTCACAGCCCCTCACGTAGGCTGATGTTTCAGGTAAACTGAGTGGCAACTTTGGTAATTGAATTTATTGCATTTGTTTTATTAAGGCTGGACGTTTTACATTGATATAAACTGAAATGACAAAGGCGACATCTGAATTACCACCCAACCCTTTGGGGTCATCTCAGAGAGGAGCCCTACGTTTAAGGCCTTTATTATTTTAGTGTATATTGTACTTAAATAGTGCATTTTACTAAATTAATGTGTGTATGTCATAAAGTTACCATATAACTCATTATTTACTAACACAGGCACAATGCACATAGAATGGGAGGAACAGGGGGTCAGGTGCCCTCCAGGTAAGACCCATGGCCACCTCTACACAGTACAGTGTATTTTCCTCAAATATTTTTTCTGGTTGCCAAGTTGTTTTAAAAAACAACACTTCTGCTGTTTTGAAACCATAAATACACAGACTACACTGTCCGGCAAACATGATAAGATGAACTGCTATAACATGAAACAGTCACACAGTGATCTGCTGCAGCAGGTGATTTCACTGATCGCTCCTGATCAGCTGCAGGTGTGGTGACGGGTGGGACAGACTGGCACTGCTTTGCGACCACTTTTGTTGTTCAATGTGTCCACTCAGAAAACACACAGACACTAAAACGCCTAACATTTACTGTCTACTGCCCTTGATGAGTAGATAATGCTGTATTGCTCAGTCACCAGGGTAGGTGGCGCTGTCGGCCAACAGAGTAGGAACAGCCTGTTCAGTCACGTTGTCTTAGTAACGCTCGTTGACTGGTGTGAGACAGGCATCACCAGGACCATTGACAGTATCAGGACAGGACGACTGGCTAACAGGACACTTGAGAAGAGTTGTAAAAACTGTACAATTATCAGTTTAAGCGGTATTATAAGTTAGCCCGTCGGTGGCAGTGTTAGGGCTCTTGTAGCTGTTTCTAAGTGTGTCCGTCGGTGTTTTGCTACCTTGAGTTAGCCAACAAGGTACAGGAAGCTAACCTTAGCAAGCTAGCAGTACCAATGAAAGTTACAGTAACATGACGTTAGTTATAACGTTAGATGACATAAACACCATGTGAAAACACCTTATCTTGCCTTTTCTCCGAGGAGTGTCCTATCTAACGTAGGTCATAATTTAAAATTCAGATAAACATGGCTAAAGGTTTAATGGTCCAATACTAGTGAATCCCATTGAGAAATCAGTGACACAATAAACATGTCTGTTATTCTCAAACAGTCTGAGTCATGGGCCGATTGAAGAAAGTCACAGTTTTAAGTACATTTTGTCTTTATTTTTCACTCTTTTTCAAGAAGCTGTTGAACTTTGTCACAATGCGACGACTTTTAACAAGAACGATAAACCGACTTTTGCTGGGTGAGCAGTTCACAGCAGCGATGGGTGTAGAGGAACAAATACACACAGAAGGCCGCCGAAGGCTGGTAAGTGTTTACCCTCATCATCATCATCTACATTTTGTCTACTACACTAAATGTTATGCTACCATACATTTACTAAGCCCCAATAATCGTCAGTCGATTTTACTAGATTCACAAATCCTACCAAACCCCATTCAAAAGTCTGACAATGTAGTGATTTTTTGCTGATTGGACAAAGTATCTATCCCATAATCTAAGTTTTAATACATTTTCTGGGTCAGTCTGAAGCACTTCATAATTCGGTGAAGATTTAATTCAAATAAGTGCTGCAGTCTGTGCGAGATATTAAATACACCATTGATCTGCATCGCTTCAAACATATGGTAATTACTGATCAAGGCTACATTAAGTTGATAGATTTTATAATAGAGTTTAGCTTGTTCTGCTGTACTACTGGTGTAATGGGACTGAGTGGTTATCAGTGAAGAGGTTTAGCCGCTTTGGTGGAGGCTGAAAAACACAAAACAGGCATTGTAAATATACTATAAGATATAAGTTTGATTTTCATTTTATTCTTTATTTTACTGTAATAAATGTGTCATATTTATTGTCTCTAATGCACTTTGACCTCCACTGTGTCCAATTATCCTTGCCTTTTCACTGTGTCCTGTTCAAGTCCAAATAAATAAAAGCTCAGTGTGTAGAGGCAGAGCACAATGTTGCAGTGTGTCAGCACTGTGTGATACAGCCTGAGTCTAACACAATGTAGTCTACAGTATTTCTGTTAACAGAGCTGCTGCTGCTGCCAGTGGATCAGTACCATCAGTACGAGGCGGCGGCTGTGTATGTGCTCTGTGTGTTTATGTGAGCCTCCACAGCTGACATTAAACTCTTACTGGCTTTTTATGGCATAAATTGGCATTGTAGAAGCAATAATCCATTTGTCATTCATTCTCCTATAAAAAGCTTTTCATTAGATGTGTCTCACTCATCTGATTAAACTTCATTTAATGATGTAGCTGTATAGCACAGAAGAATGAAATATATCCGGCTTTGGATACACACACAGTACGTGTAGAATAAGTTAATTGTTGATTTAGGTCTCTTTTGAGATTTGTTTGCAAAAACTAATTTATTCAGCACAATTCATGCACTTACGGCAATTAAAGGACTTTAAAAATTTAAAATAGAAGGTAAAAGAAAATGTCAACATGCACAAAATAAGAGACAATCATTAAAGAAGATGAATATATAAATAAAGGGAATACACAACATTAGAAGGAAGCAGAGAACTAGACGGTTTTAAGCCTGCTCTTAAAGTTAGTCAGACTTGGGGCACAGCTTAACTCCTCCGGTCATTTGTTCCATAAGTCTACCGTGTATATAGACTATCACCAGCCATTTCCTTTAATATGTGATAGTCCAAAAATAATACCTTAATGTCAATCATAAGATCTTCCCTTCACTGCTATTCTTATTTTCTTCCATGACACTTAAAAAATGTGTTAGTCAAAACCCAGTCAAGAGTCTAACTACTGTCCTCACAATAACAATAAAGCACAGAAGCTGCTCCACAATAAAACTGGAAGCCTTCAGTGTTGCAGATGTGTGTATTTATATGTGTTTGTTTGTCAGGTGGTCGGCCTGGGTAACTCAGGGATGGAGGGTACCAGACACAGCGTCGGCATGGCGGTGCTCGGCGCGCTCGCCACCCGGCTCAGCGTGGGTGACCGTTGGCGCAGCGACAAGCACGTGTCCGGTGAGGTCATCGTGTCAGAGGTAGAACGCACACATGTGGTGCTGCTCCGTCCCAGGCTGCTGATGAACGTCAACGGAGTGTCAGTGGCCAAAGCAGGTGAGGTCACCGTCTGTGTGTGTGTGTGTGTGTGTGTGTGTGTGTGTGTGTGTGTGTGTGTGTGTGTGTGTCAATAGACTGATTGAGCTTAAGTGTTACGCAATTTCTAAAAATGTTTGTGTGTTTATTTTATTTATTTGCATTTGAGTATTTATGGTGGAGGTGGAACAGGAACAAACTCTGCTTTCATATCCTGAATTTCTGTTTTTATCTTCTTGTCGTTTCCAGCTCTGCATTCTGTCACTAATTGGTTTTGATAAAAGTGCTCTGTAAACAAATCTGATTCCTTTGTCTGTCCGTCTCTTTCTCAAGCACTTTTGTTTGCCATAAATTAAATCAACAACAGCAGAATCACACTGACTCAGCATCAGTTTATATCAAAGCTGGGAATTACAAATGAATTAGGAATTTACTGAAATGTGTTAACGTCAAATTCTCTACATAGAATACGATGGTCAGCTAAAGACAGCAGTAATAGCATTTAATTGTGTTTACATTGTTACTACAGTCTCTTGACAGAGCTGAATAAAGTTATTTTTTGTCATTAATGAGCACATTTCTGGACTGCTGATGGATGAAACTGATTCCACATTTAATGTTCCCTCTAAAGTATCTGTTTGTTCTCCTCTAGCTCGTAAATATTGCATCAAGCCTGAAGACATCCTGCTGGTCCACGATGAACTGGACAAACCTCTGGGCAAAATCACCATCAAACATGGAGGAAGCGCCAGGTTGGTTTCATTCATCATATTCTTGGGCTCCAGATACTGCCGTTCGAAGGTCTGGAAAAGTAAAAGAAGTGAATGTTATTTGTGAAGTTTTCAATGTGTCATTGCGTTTTTTAATGTGTCCTGACTGCTGGTATAGTTTCCTCAGAGAAACAATAAAAAAAAAAACTCTTGTTGTGACTGACAAGATTCAGTTGTGGAAAACTAAGCATTACTGTAGGATTACAAATAAAAAGTTTTGAAAGGCGTTTGAAAATAAATAAAATGAACTTTGTTTTTCTTCACAGAGGTCATAATGGAGTCCGCTCCTGTGTAGACTGTCTTCAGACTAATGTAAGTGACTGCACGTTTTTTAAGGGCAACACTGCTAGTAAGATTTTTTTTAGGTTTATTCTTGATTTTATTGTATTTGTACATTTGTGTTTTTATGTTTGAATAAATTTAAGAAATATATGTATACATTTATACTATATATACATACATAGCAAAATAAAATGTACACACATTGTGAAATACAACTGTAAAAAGTGTATATAGTGTATATATATGTATGTAGAACACAGGGAGGTGAAAATTACAAATGCACTGCATAAAGAAAGTTCAGATTGGACTGAATTTCAACAAGTGCTTCTTGTTGAAACTCTACCGTTGAAACATTTAAAATAGTTGAAACACTGAAACAACATTTTTTTTTTTTTTTAAAGCACAAAACAGTTGAAGGTAGATTATGTGAATCTGTGTGTAAACAGTCTCATGTCCTCTCGTCTCTCCTGCAGGTGATGCCCAGACTTCTGGTCGGGATCGGCCGTCCGACAGGGAAGACGCCAGTGGACCGTCACGTCTTGGGCAGGTTCTCCTCAGATGAGAAGAAAGTTCTGGACTCTGTTCTTGTCCAGAGTGTGGACCTCCTCCTTAAACAGCTCTCTCAACAAGACTCCCAACAAGACCCCCAGTCCCCCTCTTCACCAGCAGGGGGCAGACGCGCAGCACAGAAGAGGAAGGAGCCCTCAGCCTCTCCAGCTGAGGACTCTGCTGCTGGTCAGAGCTGAAGCTCAAAGTTTCTGAACTCAGGCAGAAGGAGAAATCATGAACCTTTGCAGAGAGATTATTTATTGAGAATCAAGAGGGAATGCTTTGACAAGTGGAAAATGCTTGAAAACATCTTTCTAAAACAAAGCACTCATTAATGTATATATTTGACAGTTAAGGGGGTTGAGACAATCATTGGGATTGATGAGAGAATATTATACAGTAAGTGATGTTACGCTGTCACTGCAACAGAGGATGATACTGGACAGAGACCTGCAGAAAGACTCTGAGGCATGATGATTGTATACATATGCATATATATATTTCTGTTACAGATGTATCACAGTATATGTTATAAGCTGTCAGCTGATACATCAGCAGCAGCAAACTACAATCACAGCACTGTTAGCAGTGATGTATGGCCTCATATGTATCACCAGGGGACATTGGTAAACTCACACTGTGAAGTTTTTATTGAAACAGACATTTTGATCCAGAACGGATCTTTGTTCTACGAATGTCTTAGAGCTGGACTTTCATTCAGTACCTCATATTTTGACATGGTGCACTTAACAATTTGCTCCTGCAGTGAGTACAGCTGTTGAACCAAACTTGAATTACTTTATCATGAACATTATCAGCAGGCTAGGAGGTCTGTACTGTACAAGGTGCTCTTCTGTAGTGGGAGCTCTGTGAAGTATTTGGTGCTGACATAAAACTGGAAATCAGATTGTGTGTGTGTGTGTGTGTGTGTGTGTGTGTGTGTGTGTGTGTGTGTGTGTGTGTGTGTGTGTGTGTGTGTGTGTGTGCGCGCATTTTCAGTTAAAAGACTAACAAGACATTTTCTCCCAAGTGACACAGTTCGAACAGTCAGGACTTGAGCTGAAAAAACAAATATGTCTTTTTGAAGCTCAGTTTTTCTCTTTTGTATCTAAAAGCGAGAGCAAGCCTCTCCATGCTGCTGTCACCCAAACATACGGTCCTCCTCACATACTGCTCTCTTCCATCTTGTCCTCCCTGATGTGGCTCTTTTGGCTAAAAACATATTGATTTCCCCTTCCGATTGTCACACTAATTACACTCTTCATCAATTAGGTGTCTTTAATGAGTTGCATCCAGTCAAGAGGCGCACTGCGTTCTCACACTGCAGAGAATGCCAGAGGAGGGAGGGTTCAACGGGGGAGGTGGCGGACAAAAAAAGCCAGAAAAGAGCATATAAAACAGCGGAAAGAGGCTGACGAGCTGCTGAATGAGGGAAATCAATACAAAGGAGGCCAGTAGATTGCGATGGAGGGCTGAAGAAGAAAGGCAGCAGAGAAACAAAAGGGGCCAAACATTGTTTAGACCCGGTTTGTTTGAGGCCTTCTGTCCTGCTGTAGCTCAGAGTCACAATAGCGGCAGGGACACACTTGTGGACATGAGGAGGAGGAGGTGGGGGGCTCAAAGGAAACTTCTACACTCAATGACACCCCCCACCACACACACACACACACACACCCTGAACACCCCTCACCCTCCTAAAACCCCCCGTCTTTCTCTCCTGTGACCCCGTTGAGCCACCCTTCGCCTCCATCAGGCCACTTTCCCAGCCCCTCTTCGCTGGTCAGCTTTAGAAGGGCTTCACCAGCAGCTTCAATAACTTTTCTTTTGCTGGGGTCAGAGGTCAGCAGTGGGGCTGGACACCTGGGTCTTTAGAAGAGACCCTAAATTTATTCAGGAATGGCACCCCCAACCGCCCCCCATGCTCTACGGCAAAGCATAGCTGGGCTAACAGTGGCCTGGTGGGGGGTCTTCCCACATGTGTGCTAACTCTGCAGAAACACAAAACAAGCCCACGAACTCCAGTGATGCTGGGAAGGATCATTAGAGGAGCTATGTTAATGGAACATTTACACTTCTTAAGCTCTTGTCAATATATTTTAGCTATGCTGCTGATGTGGTTCTGTGGATGGCAATGAGCACCACATTGGTCCAGACTGAAATATCTCAACATCTATTGGATCGATTGCCATGAAATTTAGTTCAGATATTTGCAGCTGACTAAATCCTACTGACGATGAACCTCTATTTGTGTTTTTGAGTTGAAATATGAGATTGCCATGAATAAAAAATTTGCTACAGATATTCAAGTTCCCTAGAGGATTAATTCTCACTACTTTGGTGATCCTCCAAAGGTTTCACTCATCCAGTGAAATGCCTCAACACCTACCTGATGGAAAAAGGTGTTTGTGTTTGTAAGGATATTCATGGCCCCCAGACGATGTGCCAGCACCACCACAAGGTTCACATTAGTGTTTTACATTCAAATATCTCAACAACTATTTGATGGATTTCCATGAAATTTGGTACAGACATTCATGGTTCCAAGAGGAACTGTATAAACATTGATCCCCTAAACTTTTATCTAGCGCCATGAGGAGGCCAAAGGTCAAAATTTCTGTTGGTCCAGTACTTTGGTTTATGACCAAATACCCACACTAGCTTCTGTTTGGTGCTAATTACCAAATGCTAGCATGCTAACATGCTAAACTAACATGGTGACTCCTAACATCAGCAGGTCAGTATGCTGACATTCTTATTTACCTCAAGGTACCACTGTGCTACATACTGCCTCACAGAGCTGCTAGCCTGGTCGTAGGCTCCCATTATATTAACACTAAATCAAATGATTCTGTTTGCTCATATTTTGGGCTTTACAGCTAACTTACTCTACGACTGAGGCACCGTGGTAACAGCAGCAGCAGCGACAAAAAATACTGCACACTACCTACCCAGCATCAACTGTCCCATCAGATTCACACATTGATAGCTGACCTGTCTTTCCTGTTACTGGTTTTCCTGGTTCCATATGGCAATCCCAAGACCAGACCCTGAACACAGTTTCCCCGTTTCCTTGACAACCTGTTGCACAACCAACCTGCTGCAGAGGCATGTGGTGTCCACATACAGACAAGAAAATTGACTCTCAACCTGGGTCCCAGGAGTTTGAAGTCTTACTGCAGACATCAGTGGTTCCCAAACTGAGGTCAAGGCTCCAGTGGAGACATCATTAGAAGTGGAGCAGCTCCAGTAGAACATATCTGAAGAGGACAACACTGACCTGATGATACCTGAAACCTGTTTTATTAGTCTAAGCTTATTGGTCAGTTTAAAGGTCCAGTATGTAACATTCAGGAGGGTCTATTGGCAGAAATGGAATATTCATAGGTATGTTTTCATTATTGTATAATCACCTGTATATAGGAATCGTTATGTTTTTGTAACCTTAGAATTAGATTTTTATATCTGCAGAGGCCGATGGGTCGCCTTCCATGGAGTCTGCCATTTTGAACCACTATGTTTCTACAGTAGCCCAGAATGGACTAACCAAACACTGGCTCTAGATAGGGGCATTCGCTATGATTGCACATATCTCAGCCACTGTTGTGTCTTGGAAGGGGAGGGGGAAGCAGCAGAGTTGCGATCATCCACTGTAGAGTGAAGTCAGCTTTGAACAATTTCAAACTAAGGTGTAATTTGTTCAAATTTAATTGAAAGCAACCCATGTGGTGTAACGCCATATGCCATATATAGATATAAATCTTACCATAAGTGATGGCTTTTTTATGAGCTTCTGGGAAGGTTGTACAGTTGACACCTCACTCGGGTTACAGCTTGCAGGTGAGTCCTCACATTGTTTGTGGTTGCAGAATAAGACATCTACTTTTCACAGAGTCTGCAAACAGTCTAATCTTTGTTGGTAAATTTTTCCATCTACAATGAAGAACCCAAAATGCTTGAACACACTGCCTCTCAGATGCTTTGGTGTCATGATTGTCCAATCAACAGCACAGCTTTGCTCGCTAGTGTCAATGGGGCATGCAAACGTAAATTTCAAATTTGTACAGGTCACAGCTCAAATATTACATTTTTTCTCCTGTTTGAACAAAAGTTCAACATTCAAATAAAAGGTTTCAGCCCTACTACCTATTGAAATGTATTATGGGAAGTGTAGGATCCAGCATTGTTGAAGCTGCAATCTCACAGTTTATTTATATATATAATCATTTAATATATACATAGTGTTTAGTGTATATAGTGTCTAATTGTCAGCTTCTGTAAGTACATACAGTAGAAATTAGGTTGAAATTTGGTGCTTGGTCCTTTAACTGTATTTATATTTAATTCAATTCAATTTCCTATAATATTTCTTACATTAACTCATAGTGTCCCTATGGCCTAGAAGAGTGACCTTACTGTGCTTCATGTTATTTTTATCCCCATTGGTTTTAAGGTAACCCACGTGATGTTCCTATAATGTGTCTGGAGGGACTTGTAGTTTATAGTGACGTTAATGTATTTTATCTCTTGGTGTATTACTGTAATGTTCCAGTAGGGACCTGTAGTGTGTGTGAGTGTCTTTCATTATCACTACAGTCTCTTTTTTTCATGAGGCTTCTGTTTTTTTCCCCCCCAGCATCACAGAATAGACTGAAGCCACTCTGTTTTCCCATGGCAGAGCAGTGTGTTACAGTGAATCCAGGTCCGTTGGGGATCCTTTTCTCATTCGTCTCTTTCCGATGAGCAAGCATTAATAACGCGTCCTTTTCCCCTTTCATAGCCATAATCTCCAGTGATCTCGGGCCTCCCGCACTAAATTATTCTTACAGGGCCATGAAAAGGCAGCAGCGGGGCCCTTTAAGAGGCAAATGAGCATCCAACGTGCAAAGATGTTCCCAGCAACGGAAATGTTAACTCACCGTACAGAGCAGAGCAGAGGGAGTCCACTGACATGTCTGATGAGAGGAGAACGAAGGGTCCACCATCGCCCAGAAGGCAAAGCCTGCTGGGTAATTTATCCTTTAACCCCTTGTCTAACTGTTTACATTTGGCTTTAGCTGATGGTTTTGTACAGATCTGCAACAGTAAAGATTCACATGCTGGATTATCACCCTGCGATCCACGACGGAGGCCTTAGAAGCCGCCGCAGATACCAATCATTTCATGATTTTACCGTTTCAAAATGAGTGCGTCTAAACAAGAATTACGTTCTTATGAGGCCTCATATACAGCATTCAGGTCATAGTGGGACAATTAAACTCACAACTGGAAACCAAAGTGAAGAAATTCCTTTGTGGTGAGCTCTTTCTGGGTTAGTGAAAGCAAATACTGGCAGCAATATTTAGATACATTTCACATAGCACAGAATTTCTAGAAATTATATTCATATTGGACAATTCTGCATCTCATGAAAAAATGTTGGCACTGAATGTTAAAAACTTACCAAAAAAATGTAATCAAGACTTTTTGTTTTCGAACTGTTCAGTGATATAGTTGCTATTCACAGTTTTAGGCCCAAATAGGTATTTACTAATTCTCAAAGAATTATATTTTTGTCAGGAAAAGCCTCTAAAGAAAACATTCAGACTGTCATGTGACAATGTCCACTAAAACTATTAAGACTTACAATGTGATTTTAAGGTTAGCAAATCATCATATGAAGGTCAAAGGAATTCTATTCACTGTATAGAATGACCAAGTAAGAGGAAAATGAGACAGGATATCAATTAATCCGTAATTATTAGAAAATGAAAGCTCTTTTAATAAGGCTGAAGGGCTTTGCATGCTTAAAACTAACTATTCTGTACTAACGTGCTTAAGGGCTATGTTTTGCGGGATGTGGTAAAACATATAAATAGGGACACTTTCCGTCAGTCCCTCATCGAAGACATTTGTGTGCACGTCATTGTT